CCAAATGTCTACCACTATTTAAGTTACAGAATATTTATCACAGACAGGAAAAAATTGCCACCATGGGTACATTTAGTGGGCTACCCTAAAAGTAAACTGAGTTTTATAGTGGAATAGTAACAGACAGTGATTAAAAACCAAATGTTAATTGAAGCATTCAATGAGCTAGAGCAGAACAGACAGTTCAGTATCAGAAGCTGCAGACTCAACTTTTCACTGAAATGTAAAGCTACCAGCAAGGTCTTCCTTTTTGAAGACAAACTATGAATGTAAGAGAAAGTGTTCTTGAAATACTTAGATACTTCCATGTTAAAGTCTTTAATTCTCCAAAGCTTGTGATTCCTAGAAGCAGACAGTGTTCAAAAAGTGCCTACTGAGATACTTCACACCTAGTAATATTTATGTCAAGAAAAACAATGTGATTGGGTTTTAAAAAGTTAAAACTGAGTATTTTTTAGTTCTTCTAACTGCTATAATTTGGGACCAGTAAGACAGAAACAAGAGGAAATATCTCCTGGTGTTCCCCAGTTCCTACAACCTGAGCAGCACTGCGTGGGGACAATGCTCATCTCCTGTCCCACACAGTCACACCACTGCAGGCAGCACGTGCTGCACAGGGAAGAGTTAAGGAATTGGTACAGAAGTAGCAGTTCAAGTAGTACAGAATAAAACACTTGTGTATTTTTTTGCCAATAAGCAATGAGATTTCCACCTGTAAACTGTTCAGCATGAGGCCTGCTGCTGCTCAGGGACTGCATGTTTCTGAAAGGTGTTGATTATTTACATTCCTTTCTTTCAGGCTTTATCCTGGAAGCTGCTTCCTCTAAATAGTTTGCATTGTAAAAATGAATGTGTTTTCCTAATTGATGTCCATGCCCAGCCAAAAGCACAGAAAGGGATAAAGCTGTTTTGTCAGTCTTGTCATAGTAATGTGCGTGTAGATATTCCTGCAGAAAGAAAACCTGTGGCTAAGAAGAATAAACTTTCCTATTAGCATAATAACTCAGCACATGAAAGCTGTTTAACTGGGCTTTCAGAAAAGTTAACAAAAAACCCTGTTTAATGCTTCAAGTGCTGCTGTATTTTCATTATTAGGACACTTGGAACAAACAAAGGTAAGGAGACTGTTAATTCCTTTCCAAATTCACCCCAGAGTTTCCCTCATTTCACTAGCAGAAGTTTAACCTGGATGTTTACCAATGCCTAAACTTGAAATTAAGGGATATCTGTACATTGATGAAAATACTGGCACAGGGTAATTAGCCTTACACAATTCCAGATGTCTTTGTGCCTATAAAGTTAAGGGTTTTTAAATGAAAAGCCAAATATTTTGCTGTTCTCTTTCACTATGATAAACAGCAGCAAAAGCAGCTTTAGACTTTGATTGATGCTTACATGTAAGTAAGATGCTTACATTAGTGAGCTATTCCCACAGCTGGAAAAGTTATTGTATTAGCAGAAATAGGATAAAACTGATTTTAAATAGCCACCAGACTTCAAGTTAGCGTTAGACCTGTGTTACACAGCATGACATGTGGCTACTGTTGTCCTTTCATTTCCCACTGTTTGTTTTTTCTGCTTTTTAAATCTGTGACAGAAAAGCATTAGTGGATGACAACATGGGGCTAAGAACTTTCTGGGTATAAGAACTTTTTGTGTTGAATCTGATTAGCAAGTTTGTCTTCCAGCCGACTGGGATACTACAGGTGATATTAAGAATTTTCAGTGCTGCTAGATATAACAACAAAAAGAAAAGCCAAACAGGGAAGGGCAAGGGCAAGCTGTACAGGAAGCTAAGTATTGCTTCTAAAATGCCATAAAAACAGTACAAAGAGAAAATTCTCAGTGATGTGAAACTGTTCCTGTGTTAAAAATCCCACAATGACCAGTAATTCCAAAGTAGCCCAAAGCAAACTATGCATCTAAAACTGGGGGCAAGTTGTCACTTCTAACACTTTACTGGGGTCAGTGTTGCATGATGCAAGAACAAGAAGGAACACACCTCATTTGTACAGGGGCTGCTGTGGGGTTCAAATGAGTAATCAGAGATGGAGGGGCTGAGCTAGGAGGTCGTTGGGGGTTAATTGGATCACATGTAGAATTGCAAAATGCTGTTTTGGTACAACAGATAAGCAGTGGGAAGTGCAGGGCCTCTGTGAGGATTTGCCACAGGGAGATTTGCCTATTTTTTGTGTATCTGTGGATATTTTTCCTGAAAGCTGGAAAGGACCTCCAGAGGGCACTTGTTGCTTTGGGAATGGCTACTTCATAGGCATTTTCTGTAGTGTATAGTGAAAGACTTCATCGTTTCTGGTGACAGAATGCAGGTTCTGTCTTCTTGTTTATCTGCCAGTTAATGACTTTGCTTTCTTTTATTTCATCTTCTAATTACTAGGGGGCGTTAATCGTCATGAGACTACTGCCTGTAACGTCTTCCCTTTGTTCAGGGACTGCTCTAGTGAGACAAAAACACACACAGAGCAGTTTGTTCACCACAGACACATTTCTTGTGGGAGATCAAAGGGATGACTGATTCCAGCAGTTGTTTCATCTGTGCCCCTATAAGGGTTGTTTTAAATCACTAAACACATTAGTAACTCCCATGGAGAGAGAAGAAGAAAAGAGACAACCACAACTAATGTAGGTATCAAAAGATGAATTCAGCAAACATAAAACTTCACAACAGTGTTTCTATGTAAACAAAAATGTCAAGAATTAGAGTGTAAAAGTTCTTTATACTACCTGGGTTTAACAGACATGTAAAAAGACAGTTCCTGACTGCAAGGAAAAATGTGTTCTGAATTCAAAATGTTGAAATGCTAATTGCATTTATCAATGCATTGTTTTGAATTTGGTCAATTTTGGGTGTTAAACATCTTGTGCTGAAAAGAAACAACCAGAAAAGTTCAAACATTTTTTTTTCTTTGAAAGCCAGAGAGAGAGGTAAAAATCTGCATTTTCTAAAAAGTAGCATATGATAAATATATACAATGGCATGTACTTTGGAACATGGTAATAAATATTCTCTCTTTAAACACAAGCCTGGAAAACTAGAATTGATAGGAAGAAAATGTTTTTTCCTTGTCAGAGATTCACTACCAGTTGGGTGTATTTAGCTATTGTACATTATCTTGTTAAAGTAGATGAACCATAAATAATTTTGAGTGTTTTGTGTATATCACCAAAGTTAAAGAGATATGCAAAGGAAGTTACAGTATATTTCAATCTCTTTACAATCACTTAACACAGTGTTTAACAGAAATCTTCAGGTAAAAGTGCGTTATTTTAATATAATACACATAAAAGAACACTCTGGTTCTCTGCCTTCACTTTTCCTAGAGGGAACAAGCTAAAATTATCTTTTGTTTAAAAAGGGGAGGGCAATGACACGTGTTTGTTTACAACACACAGTCCAAGAAAACTTCTCCATCCGCCTATTGAGGATCTGCAGATGTGAAGATGTGGGAAGAGAAGAACCTTCCGAGAGCTGACAGGCATCTTTCCAATCTACAGCATCCCATTTAGGATTCCCAGATTCTGGATTAAGCATCTGTAGCACAGGGCACACAATTGCTGACCAGTTCAATCCACAGCAGGATCCCTCAAAGGCACTGCAGAAGGATTCAGTGATGTAAATTCAGCTTTTCAAAAGAAAAAAAGAACAAATGCAGGAGAGGGAATGTGACTGGGATTTTCCCATAATTTATTTTGCTTCCCTTGAAGTCAGATTGTTTTAATGATTTAGGGGTTTTACCAGGATAAATTTAATTGTTGAACCATCAAGGTTGGAGGAGACCTCTAAGATCATAGAGTCCAGACATTAACCTGTCACTGCTGTAACCCCTAACCCCTATCCTCTAGTGCCACATCCAGATGCCTCTTAAACACCTCCAGGGATGGTGACTCCACCACCTCCCTGGGCAATATTCCAGGGCCTGAC